GCAGTTGAACCTGAAAGCATTGTCTTAGATATACTGAAAAGACAAGACACCCCTCCAGAAAAGCTAATTGGATACGGAGCTTATGTCCCTAGGGGAATAATCTTGGGTTTTATAATCATAGAATTATGCAGCATTTCTACTGGAGACAATCTTTTCGTTATTGTTTAATAGTTTCTATGATTATCTTCACGACATGAATCTCTTTATATGGAATCACCATCACTAAATATGTCAGGGAATTTAACTCTGGGGACTCAAAGCAGTGAAATGTGAATCCACTCTTCTGTGCACTTTTAACATGTGCGCATCGGCACGAACAGAATTCAGGAGATGGGACTTCTTCTCAAAGATATGAGTTCTTCTCAAAGACAAAGAAGGCTGCAGAGAAGACAGATTTGCTTTAGGGGCAAGGCGCCCAAGAGCTTTGCAGTGTTTGGATGCCTTTTTAATGTGTCTCCTGGAATTCAACTTGATGAAGCAAATATGTTGCAAACAGTTCCTCACTAGGCTAGGCGGTGGGTTATTAGATATTTTGTGTGCACCTGCCAACAGAGCCTTCTGTGAAGACTAATTGAGCAATTACTGCAATTATATGGTCATAAGGGAACCTTGTAATCCTGTCCTTAAGGATACCCAAGCATAATTAGGCCATGGGTGAATTTCCAAGTTCTTCAGCATAATAATTCTTCTCTAATCCAGCTGTAAAATTAGAAGCTAAGAGAAATAAGGGGGCGGGAGAGGAACGGAGCAGTAGTTACTATCTGCTTGAAGAGGATGGTTCTTCAAAAGAAATGCGTCTCCTAGTTTTTCCCCTTTTCTAAGGCCTGGGGAGCCTGTTCTGGCAGTGGTCACTGCGGGCCGGTTTCCTTCAGGTCTAGCTCCGTGTGGTGATCTGCTACCGGGCTGGAAAATTCAGTACAATACAAATTGACATGAATGTATTTAGTAAGTAGATATTAACTTGCCAAATATTATACATGATTGCATGTTTTTCCCCCATAAAATTCTTTCTTTTCTAAGGAATAGTTTCTCGCTGGCATTTCCTTGGTTAGTTGTATGTCCTTCCAATGGCTGGCTATCTCCCATACAGAGATTTTTGGTGATGGAGAAGTTCAAAACTTGGTGCATCTTATTATGTTGTTTCTTCTAATGAGTACATGTTTCCTTTTCCAACTCTGGCTTAAATGCTACTTATCTTTATAAAAAATTTCATTACATACTGTAACAGTAGCATCCTACACAAAACACAGTATCCTTTAATGTTACATATTACCAGTGTTAGAAATCCTCAAGATTCAAGCAGCCCAATATACTTGGGTGGTAATCTTAGAAACCATAGCTGATAATTCATCCTTTTCACCTTTAAACCTAGATTTTCTTAAAAAAAAAAAAAAAAAAAAAACCTCATGAACAGTAGCCTAAGAAAAAATTTTTCTTAAGTCGCTAGTCTTTGTAAGAAAAGACAAAAATCAGTCCTAAGAAGTTATATAAGACAACTGTACTCCCAAATTTCCAGAAACTCATTGAAGCCTTCACCAAGAGGGTTTATTTATTGTATTCTCACTAGTACAATTTGCTAATTTATAATATTAAAATTAGTACAGAGTATGGAAACTACACAGTGAAACAGGACTGAATGGCTTTAAATACATTTCATCCCACCTCCCTTCTTCACTTCTAGGCCCACTCTCCCGAGACAGCCACATGCTGGTATTTCTAGTTTCAATTCTTCTGATTCTAGATGTCATGTAATTCTAAACGGCGTACTTGTTTCTTTTTATTTCTTCAGTTCTCACCATACATTTATTAGTAACCAACTATGAAAGATGAGGAATTTAATTAGAACCTTTCCCTCCCTTTTGGTTTTGTTTATTGTGTTATTTTTAGGTTTTTTTTCCTGTTGTTCATATAATTTTAAAAAATATGACTGAAACCCCATTTCTCATTCCAGCAACTTGTACAGAAGAGGATTTTAAACTATGTGACTCATTACCCAAACTAAAACTGTATATGTGTTGGTCACTTAGCAGAGAAAGGTGTCAGCAGAGAAACCCCAATGTGATCTGGTCATGTTTAGCACTCTCCCAGAAGACCTCAGGTTCAGTTTTTTTTTTTTTTTTAATCTTGTTTTGTTTTCTGTTTTTTTGTTTCGTTTTGCTTTTAATTCTAGGTAAGTTATTTCAAAAAGCAGGAGTCTAGGATCCCTTAGTATATTTCTCTGGCCATGGGAAGGAAGACAGGCTGCAAAATATCCTGAGAGTTGAATTCCCTTCGCAAGATCTGCATGCTACTGTACTTTTGGAAGACCCACCACAGATTTATTAGTTGAACCAGAACTGCAGTAGCTTGGCTGCATGCTGACTTTGGCTAACGCCATCAGGCTGCTTTGACAAATGTCTAGGATGACCTATCAGCCCTCCACTCCTGTGTTCAAACATACAGACTTGAAGAGCTTTGGATGCTTTCAGTGTCAGGAGAAATACAGGATTACAGAGGAAGGAAATTGTCTGTTGGGCAGGTGTGTGTGTGTGTGTGTGTGTGTGTGTGTGTGTGTGGTGAGAGAGAGAGAGAGAGAGAGAGAAGTGGCGCAATGATAGTGTAACGGAGAACGAGGGACAGAAATAGGGAACAAGGGAAACAGTTGAGGAAGACTGTTGTATTGTGATGTGTTGTATTGTGTGGAAAGAACAACAAACAAAAGAACAGTAGTCATCCTGATTTAATGGAGTGATTTTGATATTGGTTTGACATTTTCATGGATCTGAAGACACATTAAAAAGGTGAATATAGTATTGCAAAGTTATCCCTACCAGGAGATCTTTGTTTTTAGGAAGATATTAAAAACGTTTAGGCTATGGAAAGCCTGTTAGAGATTTTTAAGTCTGCAGAACCCCTAAGATGTATGTGAACTCCGAATATTTGCTCAATGATTACCTTTAATTATTGCAACTTCAAAAATTTAACATGTTTTAGCAATGTACTTGTGTTTAATGTAACTTACCGTAACTTAATCAAAATTAAGTATTCCACGTTACAGTTTCATATTCTTGCATTTCTTTTCAGCAGGCCACTACTCTACATTTCTGCTGAGATTAGAAAGTACTGATTTTATATAAAAGTACATGATACGTTTCAAGGTTCTCTCATTTGAGAAGATATAATATAAAATAACGTTGCAGTGATTCCTTAGACTGTGAAGTCAGATATGGAAACAGACATTATTTCCCTTTAAAATTACTAGTATGTTTGGACTGAGGGCTTGCAGAGACTTAAAGCAGTATTTCTCAAACTGTGTTCTAAGGCAATGTAAGAGTTCAAGGAGATGTTAATGGATGATTCTAGAAAATGTGCAAATAACACCCCCTTCTTAGATGGCCATTATGCAAATTAGCACAAAAGTCTCCGAAAAGACCTGCAGGAAAGTGGATTCACTTTTTGAAAGTTTCTTTCATATCCTGTGTCACAAGCTTATCTGTGAAGAGTGCACGTTTGTTTTTTCAGCATATTTGTTACAAAGAATGATTGATCACTCAGTACAGGGGCCAAGAAACTCTGTCCTACATACCATTCGTCTTTGTAAATAAAGCTTTATTGCAGCATAGTTATACCCACTTGGTTGATTTTGTGTTACAGTGTCAGAGTTGAGAAGCTGACACGGAGACTCTCTGTCCAGCGAAGCCTAAATATATTTATTATCTGGTCCTGCACAGAAAACTGCTTACCAATCCTGACAGTGGAACAGAATACCACTGGACATCATATTGGCAAACACTGGCTTAGAGAAATATATTATGATTTTAAACAGAGTCCTCTTGCATACAATTATAAATTAAATTTATATGCATGTACGTACATGCATAATATATAATCAATTTCGCTATATGACATTTGCAGTGATGGGGCTTTGATTTCTATTCAGTTAAAGCATTGATTTTTAAAATTTTGTTTTTAATGTAATTAAGGGATTACATTTTTAAATGTAATTTTTTAAATTTTTTTAATTTTAAATGTAATTAAAAAGTAATTTTTAAAACATGAGTTAGGAAGAAAAAGAATGTAAATATTCTTACAAATCTTGTCTACAGACAGATAAAATTATATTTGATAGCCTCACACTTCTGATTTAATTATCTAGGGAAGATGCAGATTTATTGATCTCTTTCTTCCTCATCTTCCTCTTAGGAGAAAACCCTGATATAAAGTTCTAAGTGTGGGGGCGCCTGGATGGCGCAGTCGGTTAAGCGTCCGACTTCAGCCAGGTCACGATCTCGCGGTCCGTGAGTTCGAGCCCC